CTGCTGACTGGAGAAGGGGAAACAACCCTCATTTTAAAAAAAGAAAAAAAAGAAAGAAGGAAGACGCAGGGAACTACACACCAGTCAGTCTCACCTCTGTGTTTGGCAGCATCCTGGAGAGCATCCTTCTGGAAACTGTTGTAGGGCACATGGAAAATAGGGAGGTGGTTGACGACAGCCAACATAGCCTCACTAAAGTGATTTGTGCCTGACGTGTGGTGGCTTTCTGTGATGGGGACACAGTGTTAGCAGATAAGGGGAGAGGAACTGACGTCATCTGATGACATTTGCAAAGCATTTGACACTGTCCCACATGACATCCTTGTCTCTAAATCAGAGAGACATGGATTTGATGGAGGGACCACTTGGTGGATAAGGAGTTGTCTGGATGGTCACACTCAAAGTGTTGTGGTAAATGGTTTCATGTCCAGATGGAGACCACTGACGAGTGGTGTTCCTTGGGTCAGTGCTGGGACCAGTGCTGTTTAACATCTTTGTCGGTGACACAGACAGTGGGATTGAGTGGACCCTCAGCAAGTTTGCTGATGACACCAAGCTGTGTGATGCAATCAGCACAGTGGAAGGTAGGGATGCCATCCAGAGGAACCTGGACAGGCTTGAGAGGTGGGGCCGTGCAAACCTCATGGAGTTTTAAGAGGGCCAAGTGCAAGGGCCCGCAACCGGGTTGGGGCAATCCCAAGCACAAATACAGAGAGCAGCCCTGCAGAGAAGGACCTGGGGGTGTTGGTGAGTGAAAAACTGAACATGAACCAGCAATGTGCACTCACAGCCTAGAAAGCCAGTTGCATCCTGGGCTGCATCAAGAGAAGGACGACCAGCAGGTCAAGGCAGGTGATTCTGCCCTTCTGCTCTGCTCTCATGAAACCCCACCTGCAGTGCTGTGTCCAGCTCTGGGGTTCACATTACAAAAATGATGTGGACGTGTTGGCGAGGGTCCAGAGGAGGACCACAAAGGTTATTACGGGGCTGGAGCACCTCGCCTATGAGGAAAGGCTGGGAAGGCTCCAGGGAGACTTTATAGCAGCCTTCAAGTACCTTAAGGAGGCCTACAAGAAAGACAGGAAGGGTCTCTTTTTCAGAGTGATAGGACGAAGGGCAATGGTTTCAAACTGGAAGAGGATAGAGTTAGATTAGACATAAGGTAGAAATTCTTTACTGTGAGGGTGGTGAGGCACTGGCACAGGCTGCCCAGAGAAGCTATGGATGGCGCCCTCCTGGCAGCGTC